AGGAATTCTGTCCCAACAGATGATACTCCCCACTCCTTCCTTGTTTACATCACATTTTAAAGTAAGACTCTCGTTTCTTGTTGCTGAGTTTTTCTGAAGCTATCTTTCGGTTTGCTTAGAGAATTTGGTTTTACATTAAACTCTAAAAGCATCAAGATTTGGTTTGAACCTGATCTCCAGTGGTAGAAAACCAAGTCCTTTTATAATGAATACTCTACCCAGCAGAGTTTCAGCCACGGCATCCTTGCACAACGCAGCTACAGCTGACAGTTGCCATTCACTCTGTATTCTCTGAAATAGCTAAGTCTTAACCTACTGACAGCTTTAAAGAATTGAACCCGGACTTCAGAATGGATTTAGAATTGGATAGGGAGCCAAGCACACTCCATGAAGAACTGCCACAGTGTGATCTCATTGGTCAATCCCACTTGGGAAGCAGGCTCCCATAAATTGAACTAACTGGAGCTTATATATGGTCTTTGTAATCAAGCCCAGATATTATTTATTATTTTTATTGCAGTAGCTCCCGAAGACCCTAATCAGGATTAGGGCCCTATTGTGCTAGGTGCTGTACAAACAAATGGAAGATGCAATCCGTGCCCTGATGAGTTTACAATATAAAAAGGCAAGATAGACAAGCATATAAACAAAATGCCAAAGGTATAAATCTTGTGAATTACTTAAAAAAAATTTTTTCCCCGACCCACCTCTTCCTCCCTTGTCCCCTGACTTTGGGGCCCAACCAATCTGCATCACTAGTGTTGAATTGATATGCCTTCTTGCTCACCCCACAAAAACTGATTCAGGAATGAAAAAACATAGGCATTGCAATAATACAACTTGGAGACAATGAAAGAAAGGATGAATGTGGGTTAAGTCTGTATCTGAAAATAAAGGGTAATTTGCCGATGAGCCAAAGATGGGAAAAGAGGTTTCTGGCCACTACTACTATCAGTGTGTCTAGGAGCAGCAGTGTCTAATGCATTACAACTCCTAAATTGTGCACCACATTGACAACATGGAGGCAGATACTCTCAAAGGGTGAGAAGCTAGTTCCTTGCAATTATTCAAAGTGCTTTCTCCGTCCCACCAATCTCAGGTCCCTCTTGAATATATTGAGGTTTAAAGCAGGCAGTTTGAAATTGACACTGTTTGGAGAGAAGCAGCTCTTTTCAGAAATATGCCATGGTACTTTTCCTCCCACTAAAGAGCACTCCCTAAGACCTGGTATAGGAAATTAAAGCCTCTTCTGCTGAGTCACTCTGGATTCGGGTGCTAAAACCTACATTATGATTTAGGGTAATTACTGCTGAGTTATGGCGGCAGGTGCGTCCAATTAGCTCCAAGCAGGATATATGAGACTGGGAGACAATCTATGTGTGTAAAGGGAATTGAGAACAGAAGAGACCCCAGAGAGAAATCCTAGATGCAGTTAGGGCAGATGATTTATGTTTTATTGTTTTTTAATTGTCCATAAAGCCAAACCCTAGGGAGAGGTTGAGGATGAACTAACTCATGGTCTGTGGACTCTGTTGAGGATAGGGTCAGGATGAAGACCATTCATAAGCAACCAATTTAATATTTTCTCCTCAAGTTAGATTGTCATGGAAAATTTCAAGGAAGACCTTCAGTTTAATTTGTGTGTGTGTGTGTTTTTTTAAAAGCTTAAATAGCATAATTGTGAACATGAACAGGAAATGGTGGTTATAATGAGACAAGGTAGGTGAATGCAATGATATAGTTCAGATACAAGCGTCTTGCTTTTGGGAGGAATAAATTGTCATGGTAAATGCCAATGGCAGCCAAAAAATTAGTTCATGTTCACACCTTCTGAACTGCATTCCACCACTTAAGACAATTTTTTGTCTTATTTTTAAATTTATTCAATTTAAAAAAAACAACTGCCCTGCTCCCACAAGTGCCGTATTAAAAATATGAGTTTTGAAGGTTGTTCTTTACTTTATATACATTGCCACCGTTGTTCAGTGTTTGTTATTGAGGACAGAATTGCATTGCCTGCCTCCTATGATTTGCTTTGAAAATTTTAAGGGGGATCCAAATTATTTACAAGTACAGTAACATTTACTAAACTAATGTTAAAGATGGATTTAATTACAGAAGTATTTAAAAACAAAGTAACATGAAACATACAAAGAACACAGAATAGAGAAAACACAAAGATTACCCTAATAACTAATCTCAGGAGCGAGAAGGTATCTCTTAATATTCCATATGTAAGGTCCTGCCTAAAATCTTAAAATACCTTTAACAGTCAGGGTAGCAATCTGGTTTAAAAGCATGAAGTCATTAATTTTTTTGCTAGCAAAAAGAAAGAAGATAAACCTCAAATAAGTATGCAAGATAAAGATTCCATAAACCCAGCAATTACAGCAATATATATATATATATACACACACACACACACACACGCCCAGTAAGGAATGAAGAAGGCCAAGGAGAAACGACTGATTAATGGCAAGATGAAGGGAAGGTTCCAGTGATGCAAGCTGAACACAGTGTTGCAGCTCAGGAAATTAATTAAGTTACAATTACTACTAAGAATTAGGGCCCTGCATGTTCTAGGAGCAAAGAATTTGTTGCAGAATATACCCCTGGCTGCAGAATTGCGCTAGAGAATCTCAGGCCTGGTCCACACTTAAAAATTAGATTGACCTAGATCTATCGCTCAGGGCTGTAAAAAATTTCACACCCTGAGCACTAGTTAGGTCAACCTAACCCCCAGTATAGGTGTGGCTAGGTCGACAGAAGAATTCTTCCGTCGACCTAGCTACCACCTCTCAGAGAGGTGGATTAACTATACTGATGGAAAAACCCCTTCTATAGATGTAAGAAGCCTGTACACCAGTGGTTCTCAAACTAGGGCCGCCGCTTGTTCCGGGAAAGCCCCTGGCGGGACGGGCCGGTTTGTTTACCTGCCGCATCCGCAGGTTTGGCCGATCGTGGCTCCCGCTGACTGCGGTTCGCTGCTCCAGGCCAATGGGGGCTGCGGGAAGCGGCGCGTGCCGAGGGATGTGCTGGCCGCCCTTCCTGCAGCCCCCATTGGCCTGGAGCGGTGAACCCCGGCCAATGGGAGCCGCGATCGGCCAAACCTGTGGACGCAGCAGGTAAGCAAACCGTCCCGTCCCGCCAGGGGCTTTCCCGGAACAAATGGCGGCCCTAGTTTGAGAACCACTGCTCTACACTACGGTGCTATAGTGGCATAAGTTGCAGCGCTGTAGCTATGCTGCTGCAGCAGCTGTAGTGTAGATGTGGCCTATGCTTTAATTTTTAATTAAGTTTATAACTTTTATGGTTATGAAGAAAACCTTTCAACATTGCCTTCCTGACAGCATGAAACAGGAATTCTGAGACATGTGAACTGCCACATTCATCTCAATGAGATGTTAATTTTGAAGCCTGATAAGTTTAAATGTCAACACTGAATGGGATTTTCAAAGGGGCCTAAAGTAATTATGGGTCCTATTACCATTAAACTTCAATGGGAATTGAGTGTCTAACTCCCTTAGGCCTCATTGAAAAATCCCAGGCACTGTTAACTATTTCACTGCTGATCACTTTAGCAGAAATATCCAATTAATATATTTATCCCACAATCCCAAACTGCTTCTCACTGATCTGTAGATACCAAAATCTCCAGCTTCCCTTCCCTCAACTTCTACAATACAGTTACCTTTTCTGAATTAAAAAATCTGTGTCATACCAAAACCTGAAAGTGTTGATACTGCATACATTCATTTTATTTATTATCAAAACAAACCAACCCCAGTGGTTACTCAACTGACTGCATTATTCATATTTACCTCAATGAAAACTTCCATTTTGAATTTAAATGAAGCTGTTGCAGAATTTCCAGTTTGTCACACCAGAGTATGCAGATGTCAGGGAGCTTCCTACAGAATTTAAGTTCCCCTTGCCATGTAGTACTGGAGTCTTGGCCATCCTCACTCAGAAAACCACTTACATAGGAGAAAATGTATTTACACGTAAGATGGACTTGAATTTTGAAAAAGTGAGGGACAGTCGAATTCCAGAGAAACAATTCTTTTTCTGAGTGAGAAACAATGAGACCCAGCAATTAAAGTGGTGGTGTAGTAGAATGGTTCCCAAACTGTGCTCCATGGAACATTTGCTGGTTGCCTGCAGAGAGCTGGATGACCACATGGTGCTAATTCTTATATTGCTTGTACAGGTGTCCATGGACACCACAGTAAAGGAAAGCTTGGAAATAAGGGGTTGAATCCAGCCATATGCTAGCCACAAGCAGAATAAAAATGTCCACAAGCAGGGAGGAAAGAATGAAGCAGATTGGTAGTAGGTTTCTCTTCTCCCCTGATCAGCTGGATTAAGTCACAAGGAAAGCATGGGGGGGAGAGGGAGGAAAGGGTGAGACAAGGCAAGAAAGAAGCATGTGCATGGGAGCAGAAATGAGAGATTAAATAAAAAGCAAAAGTAGACAATGTGATCACTTGAAAAAATTACTTATTGTATAATTGAAAATATAGGAGTAACTATTCCTTTACTTTGTGTAGTTTTTCAGTTGCAAAACCTACATTGATGGAGTGATTACATTTTAAGATAACATCTTTAAAGAAAATGCCACTGGCTTGGGAAAAGTATGCTAGCATGATAAATCTAAAAAGTCAACAAATATTGCAGCAACATTTGTATAATAATTACAGAAATATTACTATCTCAACTTGCACATACACAGCTGTAATAAAATTCTGTCCAAACAAATATTTTCTCTGTGTTACTTATAGAAGTTAACATTTTGCCCTGTTACATGTTCAGCTTTTCTATTAAATACAGATATTAATATTACAGATGAAAAGTTGTTCCTCCCTCTATTACAATTTGCTTCAACCCCATAATAATTAAACATTTTTTCTGAAAGTAAGATTGAAGCAATCCTGTACAAACCCTTGATTATCAATATGACAGGCAAAGAAAGAAAGCATTCAACAAGTGACTTTCCTTACCTTCAGCACAGCGATGAATGGTACAAAGTTAACTCTCTGAAGCCCATTTTTATAGAGGTCTGAAAGAGAAAACTGGTACTAGTTTTGCTACTTAGCTTTGCCCCTTAATAATAATGCCAGCTTGTCTTTTAATCTGGCAAATAAAGCTCTGTGCCGTTAGAGGGATAAAGGAATGAAAGGGAATTGAAATTGATTTCTATTCTTTTGCTGCATGAAATTCATTAATAGGGAAAAAAAAAGGGCAGAACAGCCCAAGAGAATCTCAAAAGGGATTCAGTGAAATTAGATTTAAATCTCTAATGAGAATGAAGTGATTTTAGCAGAAGAGATACAAAACCTTTGTATTAAAATAAGCTCATAAAAGAATTGGAAACGTTATGTATCAATCAGTACAACTATAAGGCCAAAATATGCAAAGGCTTAATCTTAAGGATTTTTTTTTTTGTAAAAAGATTTGAACTATGAAGAAATAATGTCAATTGCCAGAGTTGGTAATGTCTTTATTCTGTTGATTAAGGTTACTCCCTTGGTCTTCTAATAATTCCCATCACATATACCATTTTTTTCAAGGCAAGAAAATACAATTTGATTTGTAGGCAAACAATAAAATATTACAAATAAATACATAACCTTTGAAAAAAGGTTTAATTTATTAAAATATTTTATAATTAAATGCATATTTGACATTTATGAAATAAAATGTACATTAATAAATATAACTGGTAAAACAGAATTTTATATCTATAGTAAAAAGTTCTCTTTTCTGGAAACTATATAACTGTAGGGACAGGATGAATAGTTCCATTACAGCTTTATCATCATACCATAGTTATGATGTGCTACTTCACTTCATTAATACAAGTCTCCATCTGACTGCAAGGTCATAACACTTGATTACAGGGCAGGTCAACAGAAGAATGTAGACACTCTGCCCACCTAAATTCCCCTGCCTCTGACACAGACCATATCAGATTATTATTATATAAGGATTAGATTTTTATCACTAAATGTTGGTATATGTTGATTTCACCATACACACAGGCAAACCACCAAAAAATTAAATCTATAAACATTTAACTGTATAGATCGGCAAAGTAAGAAAAATGCTGCTTGAGAACGTATTAGGGTTTCATTTAAGGATATTTACATTGTATATTTTTACATGCGACGTCGACAATTTGTGTTTTAATGGTTATAAAGCCTTAACATTTATGCATTACTACTGTCATTAAATAATTATTGTCTGATCCCCTCCCCATTGTCAAACTATCCCATAATTTCCTGCAACTGTGAAAATTTAATTTAATAAAAATTGAAAAAATGCTTAAACATAAACACCAATATTATCAGTTGAAATGATTAAAAAACCAACAAAACACAAAAATTGAATTCTGCCACGCCTATATAAAACATTTTGAGTGCAGCAATGCCTGAAAGCCATAATTAGGCTGGGTCTCATTGTACTAGGTGCAGTATGAACATAATGGTGGAGGGAGGATGCACTATGCGTGACAAATCAGGAGAGTACTGACAAAGTGATTCACAGGAACCAGAATAGTAAGACAATGCTTATAGGAAATCTGGATACTAGTTAATCAGATTCTGAAACCTAATTACTCACAAAGTTGTACACAGTCGTGTACCATTTTTCACACAGTTCTCTAACATTTATGGCAAAACACAATTTTTTAAAGTAAGCAATACATTTAAATGAATGCAAGTTTACAGGTAGAAACAGTGATCATTAAAAATTATTTTTTTGCCTGGAAATATTTTTAACATGCTGTAATATAAATAATGAAGTTGGCGGAGGAGTGAAGCTGGGATTCCAGAAATCACACCTTGACATTTCACTCTCATGTTCCAGTGGGAAAGCAGTAAACGTAACATTACTAAGTGTGGCACTAGTGTCTTGGCCAGTGTTTTCTCTAACCAGACTGCTATCTTGCCTCTTTGTATCCAGAAAGAGAGGGGGAAAAATCCTGAGTTTGGATACTAGGGTTGCCAACTTTCTAACTGCAGAAAACCGAACACCCTTGCCCTGCCCCTTCCCTGAGGCCCCACTCCTTCTCTGAGGCCCCGCCCCCTGCTCACTCCACCCCCCCCCGCTCACTCCACACCCGCCCCCCCATCGCGCGTCTCACTTGCTCATTTTCACCGGGCTGGGGAAGGGAGTTGGAGTGTGGGAGGGGGTGAGAGCTCAAGCTCTGGGGTGGGGCCAGGGATGAGGGGTTTAGGATGCAGGGGGGGAGCTCCGGGCTTGGGGGTGGGGCCGAGGGATTCGGAGTGTGGGAGGGGACTCCAGGCTGGGGGAGAGGGTTGCTGTGTGGGAAGGGATGAGCACTCTGGCTGGGGGTCTGGGGTTGGGCCGGGGATGAGGGGTTTGGAGTGTGGGTGGGAGCTCTGGGCTGGGGCAAGGGATCAGAGTGTGGAAGGGGTTGAGGGCTCCAGCTGGAAGGTTGAGGGCTCCCAGGAAGCAGCCGCACATCCCTCTGGCTCCTAGGCAGAAGGGCAGCCAGGGTGCTCCGCATGCTGCCCCTGCCTATAAGCGCTGCTCCCGCAGCTTCCATTGGCCATGGCTCCCGGCCAATGGGAGCTGCAAAGCCAGCACTCAGGGTGGCACTTGTGGGTGGAGGCAGCACATAGAGCCCCCCCTGACTGCCCCTCCACCTAGGAGCTGGAGGGACATGCCGGCTGCTTCCCAGGAGCTGCACGGAGCTGGGCATGGAGCCTGCCAGCCCCACTTTGACCAACCGGACTTTTAGCGGCCCGGTCAGGTGTGCTGACCGCAGCTGCCAGGTCCCTTTTCGACTGGGTGTTCTGGTTTAAAACCAGACACCTGGCACCCCTTTTGGATACCTTAATAAGAACAAATGTAGTGTATTAACCCAATGCCCTTTACTGGGGAGAATTTCATTTCAGACACTCCTCTTTAGATACTGGAATATATTCTGTGTGCACAGACGGAGGAGGGTGGGGTGGCTGCCCTAACCCATGGCACCACAATGCTATGGATGTTCCCCCTGACGTCCCCTCTGGGCCAGCCCTACGCAGCTCCTACACTAGGGGCAGAGGTGCCATGTGGTGGGGACACAGGGTCACATGCCCCCCACCCTTCCCAATTTCTCAGACGCCTCTCGCCAGGCTGCCCAGCAGCACGGGGGGGGCAGGAAACAGCAGGGCGGCTGACTGAACTTCCCACACACATACACTACATGGAGCTGCTTCTCCTTCCCTGCTGCTGGAGTCCCAGTGTTTCTCACTGCCTCTTTGCAGACCGCCCGCTGAGGTGAGTCGGGGGCATCTTTGAGATCGGGAAGAGGAGCTGCGATGTGGTGCTCAGCGCCAGACAGCTCAGGTGGAGCCCAATCCAGTCCGAAAGCCCCAGAGGTGAGGGGAGCAGGCTGGGGAGAAGGGGACCCTGTTGCTGCTGCTTCAATGCACCCCCAGCAGCAGGGGGCATTGAAACTGCAGCAGCATCCAATGTGCCTCTCAAGGAGAAGGTGATTTGGGGGTGTCATATTTCCCCCTCCAACAAAAAGTGATTGGTAAGTCTCCAACTTCTTGTTAATTGCCCCAAGCACCATCCCACCCTGGCGCCACCCATCCTGATGGCGCATGGGGGACCGCGCATCCCGACAGTGTTGCCACTTTTGTTGGTCTTGTTTTGAACACTTGCTAAATTGATTGAGGCTAACTCAGGCAGGGAGGGATGCCTGCAAGCTCTGCAAGGGGCTGGGCAGCCACAGGGACAGACAGCAGGAGGAGGAAGAGGTAGTTGCCAGTGTATGTTGTCTACAAACATATCAAGTTTCAGGGGACGGAGGCAGAGGCAATATGTGGGGCAGTCACGTGCCCCCACAGAACCTTTAAACTGTGCCCCCCCACTATCCACAGTTACATGTTGCCTCTGGCTAGGTGAATTCTCCCTCGGGCTATTGCAGTCCCTTTATGGTCCCTATACACCACGGGAGCAACATACACTATCGGGGCGGGCACCAGAATCTAGCCAATTGTTCACAGACTAATATTTTGAAGTAAACAGGTAGGTCCAAGCCCAAACTCATGATCTACAAGCAGAACTTTGGGGTGTTTGAAGCTATCCTTTTTACAGATCGCTCCCAACCACACTATGCACCCATCCAATTTGCCTTTTTCTCTTTCACTTAGTTGTATTAATTATATCTTGACTTAATTACAATTGCTCAAAGAAGGATAAAAGTACAATAATAACTGAAGGTTGAAAGACATAACATTTTCTCCTCACTATGACTATTAAAATGGAGAAAAAAATCTGTATTTTAAAGCTTAAGTGATTCTGTTCTAAACAAAGAAAATCAGTGTAACTTGAAAGCCTTTGGTTCTTGCATGAAACTTCATATAAATAAAAAAACCCCAAATATTATGCTAATTAATACCATTGCACTAATTGTCTCTTAGAAGTGTTATTTGGCGACCAAAAAATTATAAGATTAGTTTATTGAGCCCTCTTTGGCTAAAGCCTTGCATAGTTAAGGGCTCCATGAAATGTTCATATCAAGCCTTCCTTTTATTTATTAAATAGTATTGTGAAGAATTTTTTAAAAAGTTCTCTAAACCAATATATCACAAGAGCTTGTGTGTGATGTCAAAGCAGTTGGGGACAGAGCCTCTTGGTGGATCGCATCGAGCTAGCACAAGTGTAGCCACGGTAGCAGCACCGGAGGCGTGGCTGAGCCGTATCAAGTATTTACACACCAGTTTCAGGCAGGTTTGTATTTGGCACAGTTCAGCCATGCTTCCGCTGCGGGTGGCTACCCGTGCTACCGCAGCTTTCTTATTTATACATGTGCTAGTACAATGAGAGCTAGTGTGAGTATGTGTTCACGAGAAGGGGAAATCACATAGGGCTTGTCTATACCACTGATTAAGTCGATGTAACTTACGTCACTTACTCAAGGGTGTGGAAAAGTCATCTCTGTGAGCGACGTAAGTTACACTGACTTAAAGCGGTGTCTACACCATGTTATGTCAGCAGGAGACGCTCTCCTGTTGACGTAGCTGCAGCGGCACCGATGTAGCAAGGTAGTGAAGACAAGCCCATAGCCTAAGAATGGGGAGGGAAGAAACAGTTACTCATTCCCTCTCCCTTCTGCTGGCCAGGCTCTGCCTGTGTCCTTGAGCCCACCCAATCCTGAGGCAGTTTATCAGTTTTTCTCTCCACTATAGAGATAGGAAGGGTTAGAAACATCACTTAAAGAAGCTGTAGAAGTAGAGAAAAAAATTATTTTGGGAGTGGGGGCGGGGAGAAGAAGAGAGGGTAGGACCCAGGATGGACCCTTTCTTCCATACATAAGAGAAAACTAGGAAGGATCTGCATGGCATGGAAAGAATACCACAGATTTTTAAAACTAGAGATTTTATCACCATTAAATTTGAATAAATGTAAAGTGCTTTTATAAGAAATGTGTTAGTTTCACTGTACTTGTATCATACTGGTAGCATGTTTGATTTACCTTCAGGTGGCCTATTAGATGTTGCCACAACGACAACCCCGTTTTGGAACAGATTTTCAAAAAGCTGTTTCAGAATCATGGCATCAGCAATGTCAGTGACCTGTGAAAGACAACACAATTGTTTTTCTTGCTTTCAACTTCTGCCATAATAGATCTGCAAATGGTTTCATAGTCAGAAAAAAAAAAGGCTTGTTAGTAAAATCCTGGAGAAAGATTCTAATTATTGCTTGTGGGGGAGGGGGAAATAAAGGAGATAATTAATAAGCAGGGAACGCATGGCAATCTTTTAAAACTTGCCTGCTCTTTATTACAGAACCCCATCATTTCTTTACCAATTGCTAAATGATTCCATGTTAACTTCTATTATAAAACTACAGGTGGGAGACACAGAAAACAGACCTACACATTTCAAAGAGGCCTAATTAATTAGAACCAACATGAAAAACAGAAGATAAAGAAAGAAAATACACACCAGCTGTTTTACATTTCTATTACCTTTCTAGTAAAGGTTGGTAGAGGTGACTTTAAATGGTCATGGGACTTCAGAAATAAGGACAAGTAGCCAACTATACATAATCAGCTGCTGTAGAAAATAGAATGATATGACATAGATACTATTGTGTGATTGTTGTACAAAACAATTCAACAGATGGCCCATCACAAAAATAAGCAATTTCATTGTTCTTTTTAAGTGCCTTCTATTACTGTCCATGAATAATCAAAAGGCACTGCAGTCACTTCCAGCATAGTCAGCCTCTTCTAACCTTCAGACAAAACATTCACTTAAAAAACATGAAAAAAATTGGGCGCTACAATTAATACTGAAAAAAATTAACAACAAGCAACAAAGTGAAAATTCTTAGACAAACTATTTACTAAGGCTAGTTTTAACTAACTTTATGGTATCTAGAAACTGATACTATAGACTTGCAGCATACATAATGTTGCGTCAGAATGGAGAAAAATATAAAACTTTTCTGAACAGAAGAAAAATTAGATATGACAGTATACTATAGGGGTTACAGAATCTCACGGGCTAATAAAAAAAATCAATGTACCCAATAACGAAACCATCTTAACTACTGTTATCTATGTTTCCCTCGCACTTTCCCTCCTATTGTTCATTACATCAACTTTGTCTTAATTTAGGCCCTGATCCCACAAGGGGGTCTCTGCCTATCTGGATTGTAGGTCTGGAGCTGCGGGCTGCAATCCTGCAATAGATAACACGCAGGTGGACTGCTATACCCACATAAAGCCATGCTTTTCACAGGCCAAACAGTCCAGCTATGTGTTATCAGTTAAAGGATTGGAGCCTTAGGCCTAGGGTATGTCTACACTTAAAATGCTCCTGTTGGCACAAGTAATCCACCTCCCTGAGAGGCGGTAGCTAGAGACATGGCTTCACGTAAAATGCAGAGCTGTACCACTGCAGCGGTGCTGGTGTAGCGCTTCAGTGAAGACGCTACCTACATTGACAGGAGGGTTTCCCCTGTTGGCATAGGTAATCCACCTCCCTGAGAGGCGGTAGGTAGGTCGACAGGAGAATTCTCCCATTGACCTAGTGCTCTCTATACCAGGGCTTAGGTCAGTATAGCCACATCTCTCAGAGGTGCTGATTTTTAAATTCCTAGTGCAGACCAGGCCTTAGTCTACATTAGAAAATGTTTGCCAGTATAGCCTCCTAGTGTAGATGTACCTTATACCACCAAGAGTGCTTTTGCTGATATAGCTCATGCCGTTCCCCAAACAAAAGCACTTCTTTGCCAATATAACTGTGCCTACAATAGGGATTTTGCTGATATAAAACATCATACAAAAAAAATCACACCCTTAACCAACATTACTATACTGGCAAAAGTTTTATGTGTATATCTGGCCTTAAACTTTTGGGGGTTTGTGGGTTAAGTAGTTGAAGCCACTGCGGCCTCCACTTAATGCACCAATTTGTGGTGAACCAAGGCAAAAAGGGGGAAAGGAGGAAAGAATCAGGCTTTGTCTACACTAGCACTTTTGTCAGCAAAACTTTTGTTGGTCAGGGGTGTGAAAAAAACCACACCGCGACCAACATAAGTTTCACTGACAAAAGTGCCGGTGTGGACCGCGCTACGTCGGTGGGAGATGCTCTCACGCTGACATAGCTACTGCCATTCGTTGGGGGTGCTTTAACTATACTGGCAAGAGAGCGCTCTCCCACCAGCATAGAACAGCTACACAGAAGACCTTACAGCGGCGCAGCTACAGCGGTACAGCTGTGCCACTGTAAGGTCCATAGTGTAGACATAGCCTTAGACTCTGCTCCTGACAGCTAGTTTGGAGACAATGGGGGGAAGCTTTAATAGAAGCAGTTTTCTCCTTCCCTGTGATCCATCCTTCCACAAGAACTAGGTGAATGGTTGTCGGACGACTAATATTTAGGGTTTTTTTTATTACATTTTCTTTTCTTCCTCAACAATAAGTTCAGTAACACACTCCATGGAGTGCATGTATCATCCAGCAACCCTCTGGTGTGTTCAGGACAGTTATTATACTTCTATCAAGGTTTGCATGTATTGGCTGAGGAACATACAACCTGTTGAGTGTAGCTGCTTACATGTCAGCTACTGATGTTTTCCTGAAGGCTCTTCTGAATTATTAAAACTTCAGAAACTTCTAAAGTTGTCTTCAAAACTCAAGACATGTAAAGGAAAGTGGTGCGTACATTATTTAATTTGAAAGTTAAGATCACTGTTAAATTTAGTTTCTGCACACTCAAACAGAAGCTTCTTTTCAACTGCTCGAATGCCAGTGTTATTTCTGATAAGAAATCAGAACATAATTTCAAATCTAAAAAGAATTTGGACTTTTTTATTGTGTCAGAAAAAAATCTCAGGAATTGGATTTTTAAAATGATGATATACATTATTTTACTACAAACTTTGTATTTTTTTTTAACTACACACTTATGTGGCAGAATATACTTTTCCAGGAGCAGAGGACATAATGGAGGATTGAAGTCATTTATGTACACTCCAGTGCAAATGTTTACAATGAAGTAAAAGAAAGCAATGAATAAAGGCCTGTTACTGAGTTATTATTTGATGTTACAGAATTTTAGTGTTTTTGCCTTACCAGAATAAATTAACTTTTGAAAGCTACATAATTAATAAAGCAAGAGTCATTTTGTGTACTGGGGTGCCAATTTATTTTCTTTTGATCTTGTACAGCTTTGGAAGGGAAAGATAATTTTACAGTGTAAGCAAGCAGAAAACAATAACTGAAGCGTTCTCATAGCTCAGGTTTTTTCTGTACCCAGCATTCATTACAACCAGGAACAAAAGAGAAGGCTACAAATTACCAATAAGGGGAGTCTGCTAATGGAAAGAATGGAGAAATTTCATTAGCATTTAAGAGAAAAGATTTTTATGACCTAGTGCTGCTTTCCATTATGACTCACTTAAGTAAAAAAGAAAAAAAATCGAATAGTTAATTTACATGTGTAAGTGCTTGAGACTCAGTCATCCACTGATTGGTACTGCTCCATATAATGAATGACAAACATAAGCATGTATTATCAGTAATTAGTATTAGCACAAAAATAAGAGCCTAGTTTTTTATTAGAGGCTTTTAATAGCTTTGCTGGCTTGTAAAAACTGTCTAAACTGTAGTTCTTTTTTAAACCCAAGTGATACTGAATAGTATTTAAATACTATCTCTGTGTGATCATTCTGCTTACCAAAAAGTAGGGATTTTATTTTCATTACCATTGCTACCTACCACAGGTATTACAAAATTAGAAGCCTAATTACTTTTATGTAGAGTTATTTCAGCACTCAACAAAATAAAATAAAATCCAGATTTTATAAACCACTCATTAGGATACTGAAAAGCACCAAAATTGTAATTACAAATGGCATGACTCTCAGGATTTTATATTTAGGGCCATCTATTAAAGGAGTATACTATTTATGTGGATGCAAAAAAGATGGGTTGTTTTATTTATCATACACACTAATGACAAAAGATTGGGAAGAAAAAATACTATTTATTAATCTGTGCACAAGCAGCTCATATTAAGACTGATCAAGCTTTCAGAAACATCTAGTTCATAAGGCATGCTCAGAGGCTTAACATAAGCATTCGTATAGTGGCAGCCATACAGAACTTGCAACATGATACCTATCACATCTCCACTTTAAGATATCTGAATTCTTTCAGTAAGAACTTTAAGAATTAATAAGTAGAATAAGTCACTAGATTCTGAAATACTTTTCACTTAGTCAATACGTTATTTTAATTCTGTATTTGTCTGTGGCTGTTTCTCACCCTAACTCCTACAGGCTCTAATATGATTTACTCCAGGGTGACTATGATGTGGCTTCAGCCAGGTGTTAAATGGAACTCAGCAACTTCAGCAATGCTGTTGTCTTTAACAATTCTGCATTTGGTGGTCTCTGAAAAGTGGGCATCTTCATAGTTTTCTGCTGTCAGTGTCACAGAACCTCGTCTCCGCTATACTACAAAGAACAACATCTTCACCTTTTCTCCTATATGCAAAAGGTATCTAAAGGAAACCTTCAATATTTCAAGTAAATCTCGACAACTTCTCTGGTACTTCTGTCCATTTCCACAATGCATGATCATGGTTCTGCAGTAGGAGTAACGACTTGCTTCCACTGTCATTGTCTGTTCTCAAGTAAAAGGATTTTTCAGCTGTCATTGTGGACAGCAATTTTGTCTGTATGTCACAGTTAATATTTGTTCTGCCTCTTTTGTTTTTCTTCCAGTTGTATTTGTAAATCTAGTGTTTGCTTAAATTTAAGTAAATCAAGTCTTGTGTGAAGACTGACAATTAGCATCTCTGCTGGGGAAACCAACTAGGGAAATGAAGGATAATGTGTCTCTTTCTTTAAGAGTTTGTTCCTCCCATCTGAACAGCTCTCCCAGACATCACATCAATTTGTGACTATTTAGGTATTGGCCTTCACAACACACTCTGGCAAGGAGTTGCAGAGGTTGACAGTGCGTTGCGTGAAAAAATACTTTCTTGTGTTTGTCTGAAACCTGCTACCTATTAATTTCATTTGGTGGCCCCTTGTTCTTGTATTAATCAACTTAAAAAAAATTCCAGAAGGATCTGAGCCTACCTTTGAAATGTGGAACAAAAACAGAAAACTCCTCAGTACTGGAGTAACCAAGCAGTGGGTACACATACAGGAAAAGAGTTATTTATATCAACATATCCTATACTGGAATTAGCAAAGAGGTTCCTTTATTGAGTGTTTAAAATATACATCTCTGGCATATCATGTTTACTCAAAAACGTCACATTGCTGAGTAGTATAAATACAACATGGTGTGTAGTTGGATTATGTATCAGTTTCTGCAGAGCTCTGTTTTGCGATACTGTTCATACTCACTGAATGAAGCAAATATAAAATTACCAGCAAACAATTAGGTTAAGAATCAGAAATAGTACTTCATTCAAAGCCAAGAGTTAAAAAACATGGAAGAGGAAAAACATGAGTAAGCTTGGTACAAGTGGTTTCTTTTACAAAAGGAACACAGGGAAAAGCAAGCAAGCATGCAGTACAAAAACTAAAGCAAACTGTGAGGAAGCGTAATGTGGTGGTGTAATCCTTGTGCCTGACAAGGAGTGTAGAAATGCACTTGCAGTGTTTTCTAGGTGGAAGGAGGAGATTGGGAACAACGTATAATGAATGAGACAAATGAACTCTTCTCCCATCTGGCAACATGATTTGCAGCCTCTCTTCTGCCTGTGAAATAACTTTAAAACATAACCAGTCTTTTGCAAGAGAGGAAAAATGGCACATTTTCACTAAACTAAAATGTTACTTGTCTATTACAGAGTGTACTTGTATTTGCACAAGCCGACTAATCAGCCGTCAAGTATTTTTTGACACTTTTGCATCAATGGTGATACACACGCACACCTCCGCCTCCCCCCAAGTCTTTGTATTTACAATACCTACACACATAAAAAGATTGTGACATGAGATATCTTCCTTAAAACTTTACAAAAGCCAGACCATTCATAGCTAAAGCTGAAACTTTTTCTTGACTTCACCTTGTTGTCCTTAAGTATTGCCCGGGTTGCCACCTCCATTCATAAATGAGCAACCAAAGTTAGAAGCAAAACAAAATCCCAAACCAAAGGCTGAATATCTCAGGTTTGCAGAAGCTAAAGGATTTTATACGACTGTGTAGGCAACAAAGTCATTATTTGAGAGTCTTCTGAGAAAGTTCGATCAGATTCAGGAAACAGTATTCTACCCAATTTGCATTATTATACTTGAGTATTTTTTAAAAAACACCATCATAACAAACACACAAAGGCCTGCCACCTTGTCAGTTCATAAATTTGCAAAATTGACCACACCACATCTTTAAGTGTGTGTATATGTGTGTGTGGGGGAGGCTATTGTCCGACTTGCTGGGGAAGAGGAAACAGCTCTTTACGGCCAGGAGAAGGAACAAAGCTCAAAAGCTGCTGCAAAAGGGGGAGTGGGTCAGTGTGCTGACGTTGACTCATTCCCAGGGACCGGAAGGGCTGGGAAGTTCAAAAGGGGTAAATCTGGCGGGAGAAGACCCTTTCCCCCGGACCAGGTGGGGCAGCACCCACCCTGCCTCCCCTTGAGGGGGCAAAATACCAGGTTTGGTCAGGACCTGCTGTGGGCTTCGTGCTAGCTGCTTCTTTCTAGGGGGGCTGGGAAGGAATTTTTCCCTTACCACCAGATTGGAATAGGTGGAGTGGGGGTGTTTTCACCTTCCCCACAGTGGGTTTGGGAAGGGGTTTGTTATCGTGAGTAGGGAAAGGAGTTAGGCTATGATGTCACAACTCATTATGCAAGGATGGGGCAGATGTCCAGTGCAGGGCTCCACAGGGAAGGGATAGAGTGACCAAATAAATAGCTTGGTAAAGGACTTAAAAACAGAGACGACCTGTGCCTGCCCATGGGCAGCAGTGTTACTGAGCATGCTAAGTACAAGCCAAGCAGCAAATCTGGGGGTGCACATGACCTCACATGCTCCCCCATGTCCCCACTGCTTAAAAAGGAGCAGAATGGGGGGGGGGCTCCTATGACTGGTACAGCAGGGAGCCAACCCCCTTACTTATAATAGCCCACCTTAACCCTCGTTCAAGGGGGGGATTGTAAGGTCCCAGCAAAGGGTTGGCTGTGGGACCAGGATGGAAAAAGAGAGGGGTTGGTGGAAGCCCCTCAGGTAGATATTGAATAAACATGGAATTACCTGCACTGTACATTTTTATCTGCTGAGTAGTCCCTGATATCTAATAATAAAGTTGCGACCTGATTAACACCATATCAAGTGTCTCCTGTCCTTCTTTCAGTATAGCCAGACAACAAGTTTTGACACAAAAGCCAAAACAAAACACAGTAGTCTCACTCAAAGACATATCATAATATCCAGTTATTTGTAAAAATTCAACTACAGTATATAACTAGCATACTAAGTAATATAATTAAAACAATATTTGACAAAATATCGAACAAAGGATATTCTGTGATACAGAATCCTTTATCACAGTTGTCTACTTACTCATTAATTTGCATAATTCAATAATGTGCATTTCATCCGCAGTCACTAGTACAAAAAACAAGTGCTACTCTAATAAGAGACCAGCACTGGCTTTTACCTATCAAAAGATATGCAAGAAATTTTCTTAAATAGAATTTTCTTTATTATTACAAACCTTCCCATGAATGACACTGCACCACAGCAATGTCCTTGTGCATTCTGCAGACATACAGTTTACTAAAGAATTCATTGTTGCTGCAGAATTATACTCTAGAACAGAAGATTTTTTTTTTAAATTAACTTTATAGCATTCATGGCTGTAAAAAAGCATTCCAATGTGAACTGAGTATAAACTGATGGAAATAAACAATTGTTCTCAGCATCCACTGAAGGTAGGACAAGAAGCAATGGGATTAATCTGCAGGAAGGGAGATTTAGGTTAGATATTCGGAAACATTTTCTAACTGTAGTTATGCTCTGGAATAGGCTTCCAAGGAAGGTTGTGGAACCCGCATCACTGGAGGTTTTTTAGAACATGCTGGAGAAACACCTGTCAGGCATGATCTAGGTCTACTTGGTCCTACCTCAGCATGGGGGGTTGGATTTGATGACCTCTTGAGGTCCCTTCCAGCCCTACATCACTACAACTCTATGATGCAGTGTTGTCTTCTCAGCTCGGCAGACTGCCTGAAACAATGGCTGAAAGGTGTAAGCTTCTCCATTCACCTCAACAGGATATTAACTTTAAAACTTAACAATGACAATTTAAGTGTCAACATGGATAACTACTTAATTGCTGATCATTTTAGCAGTAATACCCAGGAAACATCTTTATCCCAATCTGTCTCCTACAACTTCTCAGACGCCAACAAGCCCCAATCATCTCAAGCTACCACAACCTCCAGCTTCCCTGTGGACAATTTCTATAACGCAGTTGGTGTGTTTTCAACATAAATTTGTAAGGCACAGTGAAAATTAAGAATTCAGGGGTAGTACAGAATAAACTGAATTAATCAAGGTAAGTTAATTTAGGTTTAATTTGATATATTGTTCCCATGTCCTTGATCTCAATGAGTCAAATTATTATTTTGTTATTTCAACTGCAGGAATGCTGGGGGGGGGGGGGGGAGAGATACCAAACATGGACCGGTGTACCACTGTGCTAGACACTATACAAACTCATCATAAAAAGAAAGCCTCTGCCCCAAAGTGCTCATAAGAATCTCATCAAATTCTATTTGTCATCTACAGTGAGCTTTAATGATAACGGAAAGTGACTCAAAGTAGACTGAAGCAGTCAACTTCCACCTCTTTGAAAAATATTTTCTTCACAGTCTTGGAAACAATTTCTATTTCTGAACTTTTATCTTCTACAGTTCACCATGGGCTAGTAACTTGAACGCTATACTAACAACAAAGGGCATTATATTTAAGGTAAAAGATCAAACAATACTTTAAATGTCTTATTGAAGCCAGGAAACTCTCTCTAATTAATTACTTACCTGAAATTCATCAAAACACAAGAGACAGGCCCCCTCACTTATTTCCTCGGCTATAGGGGCTATTGGATCATATGACTTGGCCATTAGTCCTGGCTTTCTTTTAGGCAAGCTCAGTTTAAGACGATGTATTCCTGAAGTGAATAAAATAGAAAAATAAACAGTGGAAGTGCTGCATTTAACTCTGTGGAACATATAAAGCAATAATACACACATATGTAGTTTAGATACAGCAATACAAAAACCACATGCATTATGATTTAAAAAGGCATGCTGGGTAATTGCCCAGGGGCCCGGGTCCTTTTAAATCATGTGGGTGGGCCACACAGCTCCGAGGCACACATGACTGCTCCGGGCCCCATGCTTTGTGCGATTGGCCAGCGCGTCAGTCCCGGAAGTGACGGGCGGTCCCTGAAGTGACGTATTTGTCACTTCTGCCCCGGGCCCCGCCCCCTCCTAGGGATGGCCCTGGGGCCCGGAATTGCTGTCGGTGGGCCTGTTGTCATTGCAGAATGAATTTATTAAATTTCCAGAATATGGATCTCCACTAAGTGCAAAATTGGTCATGTATCACAGAAAGTTATTGCTGTCTTGGAGTAGGTGCAGCATAGGGTCCCAAAGATGGCAGATCTTAATATTTGAGATCTGAAGATGTTAAGTTTTGAGAAATTCTAATTGGAAAAGAGGAGACTAAATAAACATAACTGAGTTAAAAAAACGTTACTAACCTTGTGTAATTATTGTTCTTCGAGATGGGTTGCTCATGTCCATTCCATTATAGGTGTGTGTGCTCGCCACATGCACCGGTGCCAGAAGATTTTTCCTTAGTGATATCCATAGGGGACTGGCTCTGGTGCCCTCTGGAGTAGCACGCGTATGCAGCGGTAAAAGGGGCGCTGCTGGCCCTCTCCCTCCCTCAATTCATTCTTGCCAGAACTCCGACAGAGGGGAAAGAGGGTGGGTCATGGAATGGACATGAGCAACACATCTTGAAGAACAACAGTTACAAAAGGTTAGTAACCATTTTTTCTTATTCGAGTGCTTGCTCGTGTCCGTTCCATTGTAGGTGACTCCCAAGCAATACCTCTGGAGGCAGGCAGGAGTTCATGGATGTGTCAATTACAACACAGCTCTGCCAAATCTAGCGTCATCTCTGGCCTGCTGGGTAATGGCATAATGCGTGGTGAACGTGTGTACCGAAGACCACGTCACAGCCCTGCAGATGTCCTGGATAGGGACATGCACCACGAAGGCAGCCAAAGACGCCTGAGCCCTAGTAGAGTGAGCCTTCACTTCGGTGGAGGCACAGCCTGCGCCAACTCGTAACAAGTGTGGATGCAGTTTGAAATCCTCTGAGAGGACACCGGAAGGCCCTTTATCTTGTCACCAATTGCAGTAAAGAGCTGAGGTGATCTGCAAAAGGGTTTGGTGCACTCCAAGAAGAAAGCGAGGGCACGCCTGACATCTAGAGTGTGCGGGCGTCTCTCCTCGTTGGTTGCGTGTGTCTTTGGATAGAACACTGGGAGGAAGATATCCTGGTTGACATGGAAGTGCAACACCATCTTCGGCAGGAAGGCTGGATGGGGCTGCAGCTGACCCTTGTCCTTGTAGAACACCATATACGGGGGCTCCGAAGTGAGAGCTTTAAACTCGGAGACTCGCCTTGCCGAAGTAATGGCTACAAGGAATGCGACCTTCCACGACAGGTGCAAGAGATAAGGTGGTGTTAGTACCGTTATACAAGGTACTGGTGAGACCTCATCTGGAATACTGTGTGCAGTTCTGGTCTCCCATGTTTAAGAAGGGTGAATTCAAACTGGAACAGGTATAGAGAAGGGCTACTAGGATGATCCGAGGAATGGAAAACCTGTTTTATGAAAGGAGACTCAAAGCCTTTAGCCTAACCAAAAGAAGGCTGAGGGGAGATATGATTGCTCTCTATAAATATATCAGAGGGATAAATACCAGGGAGGGAGAGGAATTATTTAAGCTCAGTACCAATGTGGACACAAGAACAAATGGATATAAACTGACCATCAGGAAGTTTAGACTTGAAATTAGACGATGGTTTCTAACCATCAGAGGGGTGAAGTTCTGGAACAGCCTTCCAAGGGGAGCAGTGGGGGCAAAAGACATATCTGGTTTCAAGACTAAGCTTGATAAGTTTATGGAGGGGATGGTATGATGGGATAGCCTAATTTTGGCAATTAATTGATCTTTGACTATTAGCGGTAAATATGCCCAATGCACTGTGATGGGATGTTAGATGGGGTGGGATCTGAGTTACTACAGAGAATTCTTTCCTGGGTATCTGGCTGGTGAGTCTTGCCCACATGCTCAGGGTTTAGCTGATCGCCATATTTGGGGTCAGGAAGGAATTTTCCTGCAGGGCAGATTGGCAGAGGCCCTGGGGGTTTTTTTTGCCTTCCTCTGCAGCATGGGGCCTGGGTCACTTGCTGGAGGATTCTCTGCACCTTGAAGTCTTTAAACCATGATTTGAGGACTTCAATGGCTCAGACATAGGTTAGGGCAGGGGTTGGCAACCTTTCAGAAGTGGTATGCCGAGTCTTCATTGATTCACTCTGATTTAAGATTTCACGTGCCAGTAATACATTTTAACGTTTTTAGAAGGTCTCTTTCTATAAGTCTATAATATATAACTAAACTATTGTTGTATGTAAAGTAAATAAGGTTTTTTAAATGTTTAAGAAGCTTCATTTAAAATTCAATTAAAATGCAGAGCCCCCCCCAAACCAATGGCCAGGACCCGGGCAGTGTGAGTGCCACTGAAAATCAGCTCGTGTGCCGCCTTCGGCACATGTGCCATAGGTTGCCTACCCCTGGGTTAGGGGTTTGTTGCGGGAGTGGGTGGGTGAGATTCTGTGGCCTGCATTGCGCAGGAGGTCAGACTAGACGATCATATTGGTCCCTTCTCACCTTAAAGTCTATGATTCTATTACTCTAAGAGGCTAGAGACTCGAAAGGAGGACGGTTAAGCCTGGAAAGGATTAGATTGAAATCCCATTGGGGAACCAGATCCCATACCGGAGGAAACAGCCTCTAGAGGCCCTTGAGGAACCTGACCATCATCTTATGTGAGAATACTGAGAATATGTGCAGATGAAAGGCTGATATGGCCGCCAAGTGCACCTTGATTGATGAAACTGCAACTGTAACCTTTTTCGTATTTGTTCCCACTTATATCCATCTCTATTCTTTTACTGTAATCACTCATTTCTAAATAAATATTATTTTGTTTTCAAAGATTTACTGCTTACCTGTCTATTCTTGATCGGAGGGCTGTCCGTGTCCTTTCAAGGGAAAGCAAGCTAGCTGCAGCTTTCCCTGGCAATTCCTTTAGGGTGGGCTACAACCTGGGTTACCAGTTTAAATAGTTAATAAAAAAAGGTTTTAAATTAAAGGCATCATTTTAGAGCACATCATTGGTTTAATATAATTGAATCGCCGCGGCAGCGCTTTAATGTGGCTTGTGTAGTCGCGGCACCTGCGCTGGGAGAGAGCTCTCCCAGCACTATAAAAAAACCACCTCCACGAGGGGAATAGCTCCCAGCACTTGTGCACTGACTACAGTGGCACTTTACAGCACTGAAACTTGCAGCGCTCAAGGGGGTGTTTTTTACACCCCTGAACGAGAAAGTTGCAGTGCTGTAAAGTGCCAGTGTAGACAAGCCCTAAGATGTGGATCGCTGGGCTTGAAGCCCTGGGGAGCGGGGCATGCCCTGTCCCTGGGTTAAGTCCCTGGGGGGACTATGAATAACTAAGTACACTAACACTATTAGGAATTGATAACTATCTACAACTGTTTACACAATAAAAGTTCAAAGAACCAGTGAAAGAGAAACCACTTGCTAGAGCAAGGGGAGCGTCCCAGCACTGTCACTGGCAGTAAGAAGGAACTGAGGGAGGAAGGGGGCCAGCAGTGCCCCTTATACTGGTGCATACGCGCACCAGTCCAGAAGACTCCAGAGCTGGTCCCCTACGGATACCACTGAGGAAAAAACTTCCGTCACTGGTGCATGTGGCAAGCACACACACCTACAATGGAATGGACATAAGCAATCACTCGAAGAAAAATTAGATACGTTAGTGGCAGATAGGTCCATCAATGACTATTAGCCAAGATGGTCAGGGACACAACCCCATGCTTTGGGTGTCCCTAAACCTCATTGAGAATAACTGATTCCTGTCCTCTCCTAACATTCCTTTTCATATGTGTAAAGTTATGTTTCCTGGAGATGGAAGATGTCCCAACCCCTAACCCTTCCTCATAGATCTTATTTTCCAAACTTAATTTTGTTTGCTGTCTTTCTTAAATTGTTGTACCCTCAACTGAACACAGTATGCCAAATGAGTATCAAATAATTTAACTGCTGATTTTACACAAACTATATTTTTGGGACACCATCACATTATTTATGTCATTCAATGTAAACTTCACTATTAGCATCTATCTTCTTCCAAATGGAGTGTAAGTTAATTGATAAATTACGGGTGTTTAGTTAAGGGGTAAATTAATCCTGAATATACATCTCATTTCACATACACCTCACACTACATTATCTTTTGAGTGGATATTCCTATAGTTATTAATAGCTATACTGGAATAACAGAAGATTCTAACAATGCTTTAATAAATGTATTTTTGATTACTTATGTAAAAGAAAGTTAAATTGGCTCATATGCTTGGAAGAATAAATCAGGGTTGCTTTATAGATTATACACTCAATGCGACTCATGTAAATGTCAGAATATTTGCACTTACTTTTGTGTACATCTAGCATGAAACCATGAAAATGGACTCTCTTTTTCCTCTCTACTTCTATATAAGAATAAAACATGTCCATCACCATTGTCTTTCCTGTGCCTTCAAATAAAAAACAAATAGAACCAACAGGTAGTTAATTTAAAAACAGTATGTACTGATTACAGTAATGATTGTTCATTAGCTTTGAACTAATGAAACTACTCTCTTCTACTGAACAGTAAAAGGCTTGCTTGTTTGGGAAGAGAGATTATATTTTATGTTAAAAGAGCTAGGAGGAAAGTTGTATTTCACTTTATAAAGGACAAATTCTGAAAAAATAAAGTATGACATTTTGAGCCAACAAGTGTCCCTATTGTCTCCATCTGACATATTCCAAATATTATCAAGATGTTTTCATGGTATATTGACATGACTAGAATAAAATCTTCATCTCTCTGCCTCCCCCTCCTCTTACTTAACCAATATTTAACAATATGGGTAATTTAGTAAATAACATGTCACAAACAGAAATACATTAATACAAATAGAAATCTGAGAGCAATTGGGTCTATACTTCATACCATTTCATATTCTAAAAGAAACAAGTCTGAAAAGTTCATTAAAATAAGTAACTTGTTATACAAAATAAAATAAAAAACCTTTGACATAAAAGGATACATTAGAACTTGAGTAAGCCCTCTGTAGAAGGGCATGCCTGTCCTGTAGCATCCTCTGCTGGCTGAGTGTGGCCCTGCCTCAGTTTCCCCCACTCTCAGCATCCCTTAAGAATTCCACACAGACCAAAAGGTACAAGACAGAATACCTATCCTGGGGTTCTACTTTATTAAGTCCAAATAAACTTGAAATAAAGTCTCTTTTTCCCAGACTCAAAATAAAGTCTCCCCAAGCTTTTTTCTCTTCCCTCAGGTTCAGGGGGTGGCAAAGCCATCCTTTCTTGGGGGTTATGTTTCTGGGCTTTCAACAGCTACCCCAGCAACTTTCTTCAGGAACCCTTCTAGCACCTTTCCCCTGCCTTTCCGGGCTGAGAGCGATCCATGGGTAGCAGGTATTGCTGCTATCTTCCCCTTTGTAAGGCCCAGATTCCTTCCCGTAAACTCAGCTGGGCAGCAGGCAAACAGTCACAGGTGCACTGGACCCTGCTCCCTCTTAAATGGAAACTCTGTGAAACCGTCATTTAGACAAAACTTCCAATGAAAACTTTACTGAAACTTACCAACATCTCCATAGATGTAAAGACCTTTCGGAGGTTTGCTTTTTGCAAAGAGCTGCAAAAAAAGAGAAGGATCATTTTACATAAACACAGTGTGTAATTAATGCAAGCCTATTGCTGAGGGAATAAAATCAGGTGGCTGGATTTAATTAATTAAGTAGGGCTACCATAAAAAATATTATAAATAAAACAGTTACTAACCTTTCCATAACTACTGTTCAAGATGTGTTGCACACATCCATTCCACTGTAGGTATTTGTGCGCTCCAATGCATAGTTGTTGGAGAGTTTTTAACTTTAGTGGTAACTGTCATAGCAGCCAAACCACCCTCTGCTGTTTGCACACACCATGCAGGCATAAAGGGCTGAGCTGCCACTGCCCTCCCTCCCCTGCAGTTCCTTCCTACTGGAACAACTCCAATAGAGAGGGAAAGGAGGGTAGGTTGTGGAATGGACATGTGCCACAGATCTCGAAGAAGAGTTAAGCAAAAGTTAGTAACTGTTTCTTCTTCTTCAAGTGATTGCACATGTCCAGTGTATTGTAGGTGACTCACAGGCAGTCCCATCTGGAGGTGGATTCGGAGTCCATTTGAACAGGGACTGGAGGACCAGTTGTCCAAATTTAGCATCACCTCTAGATTGCTTAGTGGTTTCGTATCAGGTTTGAAAAAAGGGAGCAATTATCCACAGGAGGGGGAAATGCCAATATAGCTGCTAGGTGTACCTTGATCGAGCTAATTGCCAATCCTTGATGATTCAAACACAAAAGATATTCTTGCTTTTATTCAGAATGTGCTGGACTAGGGGAGACCCCTTTTAGCCTTGCCCAGGTGGAAAACTTATTTTATTTCTCAAGGTAAGTTGACTCATTGATGGTTTTCTACTAGTCAGCACTACCTTCTGCACCTTTCCAGAGCTGGACTCCTTTGCTAATGTTAAGCATGAAGTCTCCAGGCTATCATGTGAAGGGCCTGAAAGTTGGGATGGAGGAGGCGGCCATGATTCTCCAAAAATAGGTCTGCATGAAGTGTGAGTAACAGTGGGGGACTGTGAAAACCAGTAGTGACGGGGCCATGCTGGGGCAAACAGTATAAGACGGGCCTTGTCCTGCTTGACCTGACAGACAACTCTGGGCAAAAGAGGGAGAGGGGAGAAAAGTGTACTGCAGACCTTCTGACCACAGCAGTAGAAAAGCATCTGTCAACAAACCTGGGTTGTGTCCTGCCCCCCAGAGCTAAAAAATTGACCTTGCTATGTCTGGGTAAAGGGACCACTCGTGGTGATCAACCTGCTCAGTCGATCTACCACTATATTCTGAGTCCCTGGGACATGGGCTACTTTCAGAAGTATAGTTACTGATACACAAGTCCCAGAGCCAGATTGTGTCTCGATAGAATAGTAAGGACCGGGTTCCTTCCTGCTTGTTTACGTAAAACATGGCAGTCATATTGTCAGTCAGCAACAATATGCCGCTTCCTACTTGGATGTGAGAAAGGAACGCCATGCAAGCGAAACGGATAGCCAGCAATTCCCTCATATTTATGTGTAGACTGAGATCCTGTGGAGTACTGAGACATTGTGTTGGAGGGGGTCCAAGGTGAGCCCAGCACCCCAGGTCCAAGACATCCATGACTAATGTAAGAGATTGTTGAAATGGGGTAAAAGGAACTCACTTGCAGACATTGGTCGGTTCTATTCACCAATCCAGGAAGGACAACATGTGACTTGATACATGCACTAACATATCTATGAGATGCCTTCTTGAAGAGTATACACCTTGGCCATCCAGCCCTGAAGGAGTCTGAGATGCAGTCTGGCATACTGAATCACATAAGTGCACGCTGCCATATGCCCCAGCAGCCTTAGGTAGTTTCTCACCATGGTGAGAGCATAAGCCTTTTAGTGCAGAATGAGGCTTTGCATTGTGTGAAACCTCGCCTGTGGTAGTAAGGCCCTGGCTGTTGTTGAGTCCAGGATCACTCCAATAAATTCTATTTTCAGTACTGACAACAGGACTGACTTGTCTGTGTTGATCAGCAAGCCTCGAGCATCAAAGGTGGATCAGATTATGTGGGGGAGTTGCGTTGTATGTAAGAGAGGAGTACGACTGCTCAGAGCTCCGGTATGAAACTGCAGAAAAACCTGAGTGTCTCTGGATAAAGTTGAGAAGTGTGAGCAACAAGGGTGATGTCGTGGTCGGAGTCTGCTATAGACCACCAGACCAGGGGGATGAGGTGGACGAGGCTTTCTTCCGGCAACTAGCAGAAGTTGCTAAATCGCAGGCCCTGGTTCTCATGGGAGACTTTAATCACCCTGATATCTGCTGGGAGAGCAATACAGCGGTGCACAGACAATCCAGGAAGCTTTTGGAAAGTGTGGGGGACAATTTCCTGGTGCAAGTGCTAGAGGAACCAACTAGGGGCAGAGCTTTTCTTGACCTGCTGCTCACAAACAGGGAAGAATTAGTAGGGGAAGCAAAAGTGGATGGGAACCTGGGAGGCAGTGACCATGAGATGGTCGAGTTCAGGATCCTGACACAAGGAAGAAAGGAGAGCAGCAGAATACGGACCCTGGACTTCAGAAAAGCAGACTTTGACTCCCTCAGGGAACTGATGGGCAGGATCCCCTGGGAGAATAACATGAGGGGGAAAGGAGTCCAGGAGAGCTGGCTGTATTTTAAAGAATCCTTATTGCGGTTGCAGGAACAAACCATCCCCATGTGTAGAAAGAATAGTAAATATGGCAGGCGACCAGCTTGGCTAAACAGTGAAATCCTTGCTGATCTTAAACGCAAAAAAGAAGCTTACAAGAAGTGGAAGATTGGACAAATGACCAGGGAGGAGTATAAAAATATTGCTCAGGCATGCAGGAGTGAAATCAGGAAGGCCAAATCACTCTTGGAGTTGCAGCTAGCAAGAGATGTTAAGAGTAACAAGAAGGGTTTCTTCAGGTATGTTAGCAACAAGAAGGAAGTCAAGGAAAGTGTGGGCCCCTTACTGAATGAGGGAGGCAACCTAGTGACCGAGGATGTGGAAAAAGCTAATGTACTCAATGATTTTTTTGCCTCTGTCTTCACAAACAAGGTCAGCTCCCAGACTGCTGCACTGGGCAGCACAATATGGGGAGAAGGTGACCAGCCCTCTGTGGAGAAAGAAGTGGTTCGGGACTATTTAGAAAAACTGGACGTGCACAAGTCCATGGGGCCGGATGCGCTGCATCCGAGGGTGCTAAAGGAGTTGGCGGATGAGATTGCAGAGCCATTAGCCATTATTTTTGAAAACTCATGGCAATCGGGGGAGGTCCCGGATGACTGGAAAAAGGCTAATGTAGTGCCCATCTTTAAAAAAGGGAAGGAGGAGGATCCGGGGAACTACAGGCCAGTCAGCCTCACCTCAGTCCCTGGAAAAATCATGGAGCAGGTCCTCAAGGATTCAATTATGAAACACTTAGAGGAGAGGAAAGTGATCAGGAACAGTCAGCATGGATTCACCAAGGGGAAGTCGTGCCTGACTAACCTAATTGCCTTCTATGATGAGATAACTGGGTCTGTGGATGAGGGAAAAGCAGTGGATGTGTTATTCCTTGACTTTAGCAAAGCTTTTGATATGGTCTCCCACAGTATTCTTGCTGCCAAGTTAAAGAAGTATGGGCTGGATGAATGGACTGTAAGGTGGATAGAAAGCTGGCTAGATCGTCGGGCTCAACGGGTAGTGATCAATAGCTCCATGTCTAGTTGGCAGCCGGTTTCAAGCGGATGCCCCAAGGGTCGGTCCTGGGGCCGGTTTTGTTTAATATCTTTATTAATGATCTGGAGGATGGTGTGGACTGCACTCTCAGCAAGTTTGCCGATGACACTAAACTAGGAGGCTTGGTAGATACACTAGAGGGTAGGGATCGGATACAGAGGGACCTAGACAAATTAGAGGATTGGGCCAAAAGAAACCTGCTGAGGTTCAACAAGGACAAGTGCAGAGTCCTGCACTTAGGACGGAAGAATCCCATGCACAGCTACAGACTAGGGACCGAATGGCTAGGTAGCAGTTCTGCAGAAAAGGACCTAGGGGTCACAGTGGACGAGAAGCTGGATATGAGTCAACAGTGTGCTCTTGTTGCCAAGAAGGCTAACGGCATTTTGGGCTGTATAAGTAGGGGCATTGCCAGCAGATCGAGGAACGTGATCGTTCCCCTTTATTCGACATTGGTGAGGCCTCATCTGGAGTACTGTGTCCAGTTTTGGGCCCCACACTACAAGAAGGATGTGGAAAAATTGGAAAGAGTTCAGCGGAGGGCAACAAAAATGATTAGAGGTCTGGAGCGCATGACTTATGAGGAGAGGCTGAGGAAACTGGGATTGTTTAGTCTCCAGAAGAGAAGAATGAGGGGGGATTTGATAGCAGCCTTCAACTACCTGAAGGGGGGTTCCAAAGAGGATGGAACTCGGCTGTTCTCAATGGTGGCAGATGACAGAACAAGGAGCAATGGTCTCAAGTTGCAGTGGGGGAGGTCTAGGTTGGATATTAGGAAACACTATTTCACTAGGAAGGTGGTGAAACACTGGAATGCGTTACCTAGGGAGGTGGTGGAGTCTCCTTCCTTGGAGGTTTTTAAGGCCCGGCTTGACAAAGCCCTTGCTGGGATGATTTAGTTGGGAATTGGTCCTGCTTTGAGCAGGGGGTTGGACTAGATGACCTCCTGAGGTCTCTTCCAACCCTGATATTCTATGATTCTATGAATGCTGGGCACCACTTCTTATCAACCAGTTGTCCAGGGAAGGGAACATTTAGACCCTTAACCTCTGGAGGAATGGTGCTACCACCATCAGACACTTTGGAGCAGCCAAGAGACCAAAGAGGAGGACTATGAACTGATAAAGGCATCGGCTGACAAAGAATCTCAGAATTTTTCTGTGGCTCTGATGAATTGCCATGTGAAATTAGGCATCCTTTAAGTCAAAGGCAGTGTACTAGTCTCCTGGCTCCAGAGAAGAAATAATAGAAGCTAGACTGACCATCCAGAATTTTGGTTATTTTTAGGAACTTGTTTAGCTGCCTTAGAT